GTCCTCCAGTTTTCTCCCACTGCTAAAGACCCCTACACAATAGCAAATTATTGAAATAAAATTGAACCATATGTTAGTCCCGAAATGAACAAGTTTGTGTGGAGTGGACTCTCTCTCTCTCTCTCTCTCTCTCACTCTCTCTCATATAAGGATTTGTATATAAGGATCTGTACAAATCACTGGGTTAGAATATTGTAGCTAATAAAGTGAAGAAGAATTGGTTTGGTCATGATTCAACATGTTCCCTCTTGCACGTATCCTTGATATCACGTTTCAGCCTACATGATTTTTATTACCTACATTAATATAATCCCATTCCCACACCCTAAACACCAAGGACTATTCAAGAAATAAATTACGTGTGTGTATTCAAGGATGTGTGGTATTTACTAACAGGACTATGGTCATGGTCTGATTCTACGACTCCCTAAAGTACGACAATATTAATTATACCCGCCCACTTTCCCACCCAACTCACTTTCAGTTTCTGACACATCCTTGATAGACACCCTTTACACAAATAAAGAATACGATTTATAATATGGGCTGTACTTATTCCTGTTCTATTGGTTTACCTTGCAAGACTTGACAAATACTTTAACATTATAAAAAATTGACAACTATGAAGTTTGAAAATCCGATAGAATATATTTTGATTTCATTGAGAAATATTAGTTAAAAAAAAAAAAAAAAATTTTATTCTACAATTGCCTAATACATGTATGTGTACAATAGGTGTCCCCATGCTTGAAATTCCCCCCATTGGAAAAAAAACAAGAGTACAGTACAACATGAGTTATCTTTAAGAAGCTGATTTTTCATAGGGTGGATGGCCGACTGGTCAGCACGTGCGCATTGTATCATAAGGTCTGTGACAAGGAGTAGTGTTGCCTGTCCAACCTCGTGGGTTTTCTCCGGGTCCTCCGGTTTCCCCCCACTACTAAAGACCCCTACACCAAAGCGAATTATTGAAATAAAATTGAACCATGTGTTAGTCTCTCTCTCTGATTTTTCATGACATCTTATCATAATTCAATCATTTACGGGTAGTCTTTCAGACTGATACCCAGTGAATATTCACTAGGCCGCGACAATCACTGATAAGGATGACATCGATGCGACTTAATAAGCCCCAAATATTAACTTTTTTCCGCAGACAAATTAAATTCTAAAACGTTTTTTTTATGTTCTCGAAAAATAAAGACGTTTGAAGTATTTGTAGGTAAAAGTTATTTCCTATTTTAGTGTTAATGGGTATTAAAATGAGTAAAAGGCGCCATTCTGCTCAAATCAGTAAACAATGCATGCGCCATTGAGCCAATGGTTGACGCTGCGTGATATGACGTCATGTGTCGAAGGCAGTCATCTTTTACAGAGATATTAGAAGACTTTCGAATACTCTGTGAAACAGATTGGTAGTCCTTTTATCATTACTTTTACATTTTTCTTTTTCTTAATTTCTGTTTTTATTCTGAATGTGTTGTTTCTTAGAATAATAAATACATACCAAAATAAATAAATAAATACTTAGTCTAAAAACCTGATAGAATTTACTATGATTTCAATTACAAATATTGGTAAAACAAGGTTGTTTTTTTTTTATCCTATCTTTGCCTTTGTGTTACATGTTTATACTTGGTTTGTTGACTGCGTAATATTTTGGCATGAATCAATAAAATATGTGACCCACACTTGACAATCCCTTAAAAATCTAAAATAATTTATGGCCAGTAGTTTAAAAATCTGAAATAATTTATGGCCGGTAGTTTACAAATATGGAATAATTTATGGTATTTCAATAAATATTGATAGTTAAAAAGAAGTTTTTGATCCCATGTTTCCTATTATAATATTACTATAATTTTGATTGTGTTATTAAGTTGTCAACTTGGCAGTATTTTGATACAACTTAATTAATATGTCCCATTGTTATTACCTTAAAAGTGACAAGTAATAATCACTTAGAATGCTATTTCAATATTTGATTGAATTTGAATGATAAATTTACGGCTGTTTTTTTTTAATTTTGTTTGTTTATTTTTGAGATATTATTTGATTTCCTTAAATGACCGTAGTAAATATCTCATAGAGTACCAAAACATTATTTCAAATAGCTTTGAAAATCTTTTCATACTTTGAATATTTGTGTGAGCACTACATTTTGCAAGGGTTCACCCATGTTACGTACATGTAATTGGATTTAGTAATTCAGTTTAGAAATATTCTAAATTTGGGGTCTCATAATTGTTATGCTGCCCATAAATTTCCACATGTAATAAAGTAGTACAAATGAAGGCTGATAAACATCTTAAAGTAATAAGTAATTATTAACTCTTCATGGGGTTTTTGTTTTGTTAACTGTAAGGATTAAAAAAACTGAACGACGTCATGAATTGGATGTCATATATCGTCACTTGTCGTCAGTGGTATTGGATATCTTACAGCCTATTGATGTCAAGCGATTACCAGTTGTGTACAACTTATTGATGTCAGTTGACAGTGTCGTGTCGATAATTGCCTGTGGCACATTCTGACCGCCAAGATTATTGACTGAATTCTAATGCGGTAAGAAGCAGAAAGGATATGATGTACATACCTCACTAAATTCAAAAATAGCCATTATCCAAAAATCTGAAAATGGGAAAAAGGGCCAAAATAGCATCACTGTATTTGGGGTGAATTAAATTTGGAAATGAATATTATCTAGAGTTATATCGGTCTTATCTTTTGGCTTTGTTGCTAAAATCATCTGTTGCCTTAATAAAACATGAATTTTTAGATGAAGTATTTATACATTGAACTTATTATTTTAACATGGACTTGACCTTCATGTTTTTAATTATAAATTTTAGGATGAATCAATCTTAGTCTTAAAGTCTTAAAGGAAAATACAGTTTAGTACTAGTCCTCTGGTCACAGATAGTGACAGCTCTAGACGGGAGGTGTGGGGAGGGGGGGGGGTGATCGTAGGGGGGGGTGAGTGGGCAGTAAGTTCATGAATATAATGAGGTTCCACATGCTCAGCTGTTTAAAATAATTCTATAATGGAAAAGGGTCACCATGTCAAGGGCGATTTCTAAATGACCTGTAAGACTATACATAGATCTAACCAGTCTGACATCCCAATTACCTGTCAGGGATAATACTCAGAACTGAACATACAACATCCACTGGCAAGAAGGGATGCTGACTGGATTAATCAGGGGCGTGTTCTGGAATTTGGGTAGGAGGGGGACAAGGGTAGAGAATGTCAAGTTTGGCGAGAGGTTTGGGAGATTAACCACGAATCTGATAAAATCAGCTTTGAGACTATATTTCTGCTCATTTAGATGCATACATGTATAGGATTATTGTGGAGTTGTGCCAGAACGACATTATTTGACATCTTTTCAATGTTCTGTGCGAGCAGGGTAAGGTCTTGACGCCCCCTAGGGAAACTGTTAATGTACATCCTCAAATATCAATATTAGTTAAAAATGTTGTACCTACATATACTGGTTGATAGACCAGATCTGGAGGGAGAAAAAGTTAAAAGTTACATAAAACAACAGACTCCATAATCCAAAAGTATTGAAGCTGAGCTTCATTGAGATCTCATGAGAAAAGTTTGTAAATGTGAGATTTAATAATATTAAGTATTTGGAGTTACTGCCCTTGTCATTCTGACATCGCAATTTTTCATTAATGTGGTAGAGGCTAGAATTTTGACATGTTTTTCAAATTTGACTTGAATCATTGGGGTTGTGAGAAGATAAACCCTATTGATTTTCAGTGCTCCGAGAACTGTCGTTTCTGAGTTATTCCCCTTTTCCCAAAATCCTTGTATACACGATAGAGGCTTAGTACAGTTAATAACAGATTTTTTTTCCAATTTAGTTTGAAGAGTTGGGGCATGATGAGAGGACAAATCCTATCGATCCTTGCATTCCGGAGTTATCCCTCTGCCCCCACCCCCTTTATCCACAAACCTTGTTAACATGATAATTGATACAGTTTTGAACAGATTTTTTCCCAATTTTTTTCAAGCATTGGGGTCATAGAGGACGAACCCTATCGACACTCAGCATTCTACGACCTCCTTCTCAGAAAAATTGTTCATGCGTTAGAGGATACAGTTTTTAATGGATTTCTTTCATTTTTGGTGTAAGTATTGGGGCCATGAGAGGATGAACCCTATTCCGTGTTCCACAATCTTCAGTTCTGGAGTTAACGCCCCTTAAACGAAATCTTGTTTATGTGATGGAGGCTTCAGTTTGGAATGGATTCTGTTTTCGAATTTGTTGTGAACTTTATCTTTATTCAGCCTTCAGCAATACTCTGTTCTGGACTAGAGAAGTTTAGTAGAAATATGAATAAACAGTACTTGTACACCACAGAATTGCGGCCTTGATCATTTCTAATAATTTTTCTGGTTATATAAAGCTACATTGTTATAATTATCATGAAGCTGACCAATTATAACTTAATGAGGTATTAATAATGGAGTTATCTAATGGAGTTATCTATGGTGTATTTATCAATCTTGAATTACTGTTGATAGTATGTATCGGAGGAGTAGTAATAAACTAATTAAGATACAAAAGATTTAATTATTTATCTTCAACAACGAATTGGAAACTTTGAGGATGCCGGAACTGTTGAGAACAAAGCTAGGAGTGGACAAAAGTCAGCCATGAACGACTCATATTACCCATTGGTCGTAATGAAAAATGAAGCTTTGCTCAATGTCCAATAATTTCATAATACATATTTTTAGTGTAACTACTGTCACAAAATTGCAGAAGATGCATTTCCCAGCTTCTAGAAATAAGAAATTCCTGGGAGAGCATGCCCCCAACCAAACACCCATAAAAAAACTCACTCATTGGCACTCCGTCTATGCTCATATTAGTTAGATTTCTTTATTGCTCAAATCATGCTCAGAGATATTAGATAATAAAATTAGTATAATTGTGACCAATCATCCTTTATTCGAGAAAAAACCCTTTATATTATTTCAGAGCAACCTAAAGAAAAAGCGTTTAAAGAAAAGGACATGGTTATTCGACGGAGAGGGGCTATGCGAAGGCGTGTACATCAGGTGCACGGACACAAATTCATGGCCACGTTTCTCCGGCAGCCAACATTTTGCTCATTATGTAAAGATTTTATTTGGTAAGTTGAAATATATTGATGATATAGATATGAATCATGTATGTATTATTAATTGAATGATGTTAATTGATGTAATTAAGAGGGTGTGACTGACATTAAAATACCCAGACACATTTATCGCATTTGTTAGTAACCGATTTATTTACCTGTAATATTCTTTCATCCATAATATCTCTATAGCAGTTAAGAATCCATATAGCTAAATTTGTTGAGAAGCAACCCCTATAACCAGTGAAGATTAGACAAAATCCTTGGTAGTGATAAACAAATTTATTATTGTAATTGTTTCGGACAAGTGAAGAAGGACGCCACTTGTCCAAAACATTTACAATAATAAATTTGTTTATCACTACCAAAGTGTTCGTCTAATCTTCACTGGTTATAGGGGTTGCTTCTCACGATATTACGTCGTCTTCCTGAACCCCTTATGTATCGCCGAGATCCCAGTTTAGATGTCCTCCTAGTCTCCAGCTACATAAAACTACTTTACGAGAGTTGGCGTTGTTTTCCACTGCTTGCAATAGCTAAATTTATTGACTGATACCTTGAGTCGTTCCTTATATTTACCAATAAGAACCCACGAGAGCACCCAAAGTATTTCAAAAATTGACTGACAAGAAAAGATGTTTAGATATGCATGTTCTACACATCATATCCAAACCAGTATGTGCGTGATATTGTAACGTTATATCAAGAATCATAGTCTGTCAATCTATGCACAATTGTCTCAAAGGAACTAGAATGCCAGGTTTCATGTCAATTGTACTTGAAATGGCGAAGCTATAGGCTTTTTTATACTCTCACATGGAAATGTGGTTGTATATTGCCATCGCCCCTGATCTGTATGAAATTTATATGCATCATTTAAATTAGTGAAACAAAGAAACTTGTTGAATTTCAGCAATTTTCGTTAATTACTTTTAGAATTGCAAAACCTTGTGAACCCTCAAACGACGAAAATTATAATCTGATCTGTATGAAATTGTCTTGTAAGGGCCCCCCCCCCCCCCTATGACCTACAAAAGAATAAATATGCGACAACCCTTGTTGACCACTCGGACCATTTACCTGTTGTTGGCATATGTTTCATTGCTTGGCAACCTGTCTTTTGAATCGCCCCCAAGAAGAACAAGAATTAATCAATGTTCTGCACATTCATCCGCAGATTAGTGGTAGAGTATTAGTCACTTTTTGTTTGCAAATCATGAAATTTTGTAATTATATAAATAAGTTTTGTTTTTAAAATTTGTGAGTGTCCATTGCTCCAGAAATTATCAACTATGACAAATATTAGTCTGTATGAAATAGTGCCAAATTTGTATACAGTGGCATGGATTGAGACAAATCTTCATATCCAATTTGGCATATTCAAGGTTGGATGTTTGCCAATCCATATCTATCCCTTGTTTAAACTAATATATTCGTTGTAGGCGAAATAAAGACAATTTAGGCAGGAGTGAATGAGACTAAGAATTTGTCTGAATGCGTATCTTGATCTTATAGACTGAAATACTGAGTTTACAGACAACACACGACTACATCCTATTTCATCCATGAATACTTCCTGGAAAATACTAAAGTCTTTAAACAAACTTCACTTTATAATGTATTTGCCAGTCTGAATGGTCTTATCTACAGTGTAAAACAATGTACATTACTTATTCTCAATGTTTTCATTTTTCAGGGGGCTGGGTAAGCAAGGCTACCAATGTCAAGGTAAGTTAAAATCAATATGATTTTAATAATGATATGTAGATAGGATCGTTTTGTCTCCTGTCTACTGACAGATTTACATAATTATTGTTCATATCAACAAATGATATTTTAAAAATCTCAATGATGAAAAGATTGCTATTTTAAAAAATCACAATCATTTATTTGTCAATATAGTAAAAGATAAAAATTAAGAGCCATTTATGTCTTGGCTATTATTTGGCAAGAAATTGTGACAGGGCTTGTAAATCAACTTACCAGTCATATATAAACAAGTTTATTGCAGATGTTATCTACTGAAATCAATTTCTTGATCCAAAAATACCAAACATTTTATAAACATCTTTCATTACAAAAGCGACATAACCAAAGACCATTAAATGTCATTATTTAAAATAAAGAGAGAAAGAAATGGGGCTTTATTGTCCATCCAACACACACTATCTCATTTTGGGACTAACATAAGTACACTTTTATTTCAATGATTTAATTGTGTGTTAGGGTCTGGGTTAGGCAGACAACCCTACTCATTGTCAGATATAAGTTTAAACAAAGGCTGAATAAGGGTTACTAAGTTAGTAATGTAGATTATTAAATCAGAAATTGAAGGTTAAATAATGTCATAGCCTTGATGTAGGTTATTAAATCAGAAATTGAAGGTTAGATAATGTCATGGCCTTGATGTTACCAGATAAAAATCAAATATAGTCACATGATGGTGTGAAATCAATAGAAAATAATGTAAACTTTAAGTGGCCATAACTTACACTGAGAATTATGGGTTTGAATAAGTTTTAGAAATATGAATATTTGCCTGTTACGGCCTAATGATAGCTTTAAAATAAAAAGAACTCCTTCATATGGGTCCAAAATGAAATTGTCGACTTCCTTGGATTTTATACATTGATTTGTTTAGTGGATTCTGACTTTGTTGAAACTTTTACATCTATAGATAAAGCCAGTGTTTAGATATAGCCTATCTTTTGTTAAACAGTGTAAATTAAAATTGAAAATAATAATAGTAAACAAATTGACTTAATCATTTGTGACAAAAATTTAATCAAATGATCAATTTAAAACTTCCCCCCCCCCTTTTTTTTCTATCTAAATCAGATGTTTAACTCCTTTAAATCCGATTCTAATATTTTAACTCCTTTAAATCCGATTCTAATATTTAAACTCTGTTAAATCCGATTCTAATATTTAACTCCTTTAAATCACATTCTAATATTTTAACTCCTTTAAATCACATTCTAATATTAAACTCCTTTAAAGCCCATTCTAATATTTTAACTCCTTTAAATCACTTCTAATATTAAACTCCTTTAAAACCCATTCTAATATTTAACTTCTTTTAAATCACATTCTAATATTTTAACTCCTTCAAATCCGATTCTAATATTTAAACTCTTTTAAATCCCATTCTAATATTTAACTCCTTTAAATCCCATTCTAATATTAAACTCCTTTAAATCACATTCTAATATTTTAACTCCTCTAAATCCGATTCTAATATTTAAACTCTGTTAAATCCGATTCTAATATTTAACTCCTTTAAATCCCATTCTAATATTAAACTCCTTTAAATCCCATTCTAATATTTAACTCCTTTAAATCACATTCTAATATTTAACTCCTTTAAATCACATTCTAATATTTAACTCCTTTAAATCACATTTTAATATTTAACTCTTTTAAATCACATTCTAATATTTAATTCCTTTAAATCACATTCTAATATTTCAACTCCTTTAAATCACATTCTAATATTTAACTCCTTTAAATCACATTTTAATATTTCAACTCCTTTAAATCACATTCTAATATTTGGGAAAGTTGACATGATTATTTATTTGTTGTATTTCTGTTTATAGTATGTACTTGTGTAGTGCATAAACGATGTCATCAACATGCTGTCACAAAATGTCCTGGTTCGAAGGACAACCCCACAGATGAGGTCAGTAATGTAAGTAGTCCCCTTTCATTTATATTTTTTATCAAATTATCTATATTCTTTTGCCTTTCTTGCAATAGAAAATATACTAATGTCCAAAAGAAAGTATACACTATGCATTTTGTCCTGCTTCAAACAAAGTCGTTTTTCCATTGTATGCGGTATTTGGGTACAATGTCCATTTGTTTTGCTATTTATTTGCTTACAAATATTGAGTTTGGACACACGAGACATGTTCAGTGTAGTTTTATCACATTTTTTTTATTCAAACAAAACTTAATCATATTTTTAGTGTGTATACTTTCTTTTGGACACTAGTATATTTTCATTTAGATCCAGTAATTGTCTTTTGAAAATAAATATCTATTATATTTTTCAACATTATCTAAAATAAAAAAGGTTTCAGACTGTTACTCCAGGAAGAGAAAACTTCTGATTTCTTCCGAGAGCAACAGTTTTTATTCAAACTATTTGAATGTACTATTAGGCAGACTCAAATATTTTAACAGTTTTTTGGAGTCAACCCAGTTATTATGCATCTATAATGAAGAATATGATTATTATGTTGAAAGTTAGCTATATTTATTTTATTGTTTAACAGATAACTATGTTAATGGGCTGCTATCATTTTATTTTACAGGCTGTTGCAATTGGTACAAGATTTAACATAAATATTCCTCATCGGTTTAACTGCCACAATTACAAACGACCCACATTTTGTGATCATTGTGGTTCTTTATTATATGGAATAATAAGACAAGGTCTTCAATGTGAAGGTAGGTTGTAAAATATAACAAAAATTTGTATACATATATCTAGGGTATAAAATAAGTGGGAAAAGGCTTTAAATGGTGTGTTAATATTGTTGCTCTCGTCAATGGCTCCGATCAATTGCTCCCGGTGTTGGGCCGAGAAAATTCCTCAGGATTTTGCTGCATGGCTTCTTGTCAGCGGTGCACTGGTGCAGACTGAAGGGCCTGACAGTGTCTGGTCGATCATATGTCCATCTTTATTAGCCCATTAGGTCCAGAAAAGTATGGCATTAGACCCCAACTACATTTATCTTCTGATCTTATGGAAATTTATATATGTTGTTCACATTAGTGAGGCAAAGAAGCCCAAATGATGAGCGCTTCTGAAGTCGCACTTGATCACTTTGTGAAATCTTTAGCATACTGTAAGGACAAAAGATAACATTGTTCAGATTAGTAAAAAACAAAAAATACCTACTGACTTTCAGTTGATTATTTCTAAAGGTATTGCATTTGCTCAAATTGATATATGCATTGTTCAGTTGGATGATTAGAAAGCTTTTTCACTGTAGTACCACAAACAAGATACGGATGGGGGAACGGAACAGTCCGATAGAATAGTTTCAAAAGATTTTCAGATAATCAAAATTTCCAGAATTGAAATTGTTTGTTGTAAGGTTAATTTCGTTTGTTTGTTAAAAGGAAAATTTCTGTTCTGCTATAGACACTTTGTGTTTTTATATGCAGTACTTCTTCATGTATACTTTTCTTTTGCAGTATGTAAAATGAATATACATAAGCGATGTCAAAAAAATATACCTAATAATTGTGGGATCAACATGCGGGATATGGCCCAAGCGTTACAATCTATGGGAATCTCGGGAGATAAGCTCAGTAGGAAGCCGAAAAAGGTAAGTTAGACTTTCATCAGCATTTTCCAGACATCTAATTTTGAACAGCTTAATCAACCCCGAAATTGATTATTTAACATTTAATTAAGAAATGAAAACTGAAATGTCAAGGGTAGATAATCTCACGGCTTGGATTCAATTCGATTTTAAAGAAGCAAATCAAAAGTTTTTATCCAACATTTATAGTGGCCATTGTCTTGCTTATGTCATCTGCAGAGAATACTGAATGCGTCGAAATTTTCAATTCATCAATTCTTTGTGATTACTGATCTGAATTGAACCATCTGTGGCCTGATATTTCTTTAAAAGGTTCTGCTTGTCAAACATGACATCAGTCTTAACATTATTGTTTATTAGTGCCACCAGATGTATTTTAGATAGGGATCTGCGGTGGCTCACTAACTAGGTGAACCGGGGTTCGATCCCAGTAATTCCCCTTGTCTGTAGGTGCTGAACAGAGTCTGGCAAGGATAGTATCTAGTCGTTCGGATGGGACGGAAAACTGAGGTCCTGCATACACATTGGCTTGCACATAAAAGACCCCTTGACAGTTGGAATTCAAAATAGGAGTAGGACGTAGTGCCTCTGTCTGGGCAAAATTTCCCTCATAGCACATTGTATGGCATATGGCATTCACCCATTTTCATTAGCCAAGTCTGGGCAGAAAAGTAGGATGTTAAACCCTATTTCTTTTCATTTCGTTTGTATTATAAGTAAATAACATACAGTTTGAAAATCCATGGCACCAAGGATAGTAATGATTTGTTACAGACCATAGTTGATCTGCTAACTGAAAACAGCTTCACAGCTAGATATTGACCTTTAATAATTTAAGATTTATGAAATGTAGATAAAGGGAGATAATTTGATATTGTAATAATTATTTCAGGCATCAATTAGTGAATCACCCAATAGAAGTGCAAGTAATTTACATGAGAGATCATTATCATCACCTATACCTATGATGCCCTGTAAGTTGACAGTTTACATCATGATATTAATAATAAAAAACACAACACAATTTATATGGAAAACAATCACTGTTTTGTATACATACAGCAGAATGTTATCATTGTGGTTGATAATGATAAGAGAACATATAGGCATAGCCTGTTCCCCAATTCAATTTCAGATTTACTGAATAAAAATATTGTTTATAAAATAAAAAAATGTGTACAAACCAGTGATTGTCTTCCATATAAATGGTGTTGTGTTTGTTTATCTAGCTCAATGCCACTCAATGATCATATTACTATGGTTGGGTATTAGACTGACACTTACAGCATCTCAGATTTGACTACAGCATTACTGGGGTTTTTAAACACCGTTCTTTGTTATCCTAGTTAATGCCCTGCAGTTTTATGGATGGAATTGGTTAGTCCTTTGTAGTTCTTTTGGACTGCCTGTTAAGATTGTTTCCTATTTCTTTTAAAAAAAAATTATTAAATGGTCACTCTTAAAAAGTTCATTCTTGCCAATTTGACCAAATAAACTATCTGAAATGTATTCATGGTGTTATATGAATTGTCTTTGTAGCTAATGACCAGCACAGTTCACAAACACGGAGTCCCTCAGCAGAACGGGGTCGTAGCAAACCAAGACATAAGCTAACAGATTTCCACTTTATCAAAGTTTTAGGAAAAGGAAGTTTTGGAAAGGTAAGTGGATTAATTCAAAAAATCTTTTTGTTGGTTGAGGGATAAAATCTCACTGTAAATTTGAGAGGTCTTAATCAATGAAAAGGCAGTAAAAGTTTTATTTTAAGTTTTTCATGAATAAGTATTGAAACGGTTCATGAAATAAACTAAAAAATATTAAATACATAAAGTTGTGTTTTTATGAAGGAAGAGGTTATTCGTAACCACAGTTTTAGGGCGTTAGTTTAGAGTTACAAGAACTTTTTATTTGAATACTCTGTATAATGAACAAGCACAAGGAGTGCTTGGTAACTTCATTGAACTATTGTTGGGTCATCAATGTTTCAAAAGTAATTACAAAATAATCTTTATTCATAAGTACAGTATTTTAGAGGTATGGTAATCTATATTCGTTACGCTGGTATGAAAAACCTTGTCCTTTTATTACAGTTATAACTCTACATTTATTTGTCGGTTATAATAATGCTGTAGATTATGTATATAAGGCTATTATGATAATGATGTATATAAGGTCATGTTAAGGATATTATGATACTAATAATGTTGTATATTATTACTATGTACGTTGTATATGAGATTATGTTAAGGACATTATAATAATATTTCATATTAATATGTATATTAGGTTAAGAACATTATAATAATGTTGTATATTAATATTAGGTATTCTAGGTTAAGGATATTATAATAATATTATTATTATGTATATAGGTTATGTTAAAGATATTATAATAATGTTGCATATTAATATTATGTTAAGGATATTATAATAATACTATATATCATTAGTGCATACATAATGTTATGTTATGGATATAATAATGTTGTATATTATTTTGTATATTAGGTTATGTTAGCAGAAAGAAAGGGTACAGATGAAGTATATGCTATAAAGGTATTAAAAAAAGATGTGATAATACAAGATGATGATGTAGAATGCACCATGACAGAGAAGAGAATATTAGCTCTGTCAGCCAAACACCCTTTTCTTACAGCTCTTCATTCCTGCTTCCAAACAGAGGTAAGACAACACAAACACATTTGAATTGTAATTTCATCATGATTCCACTGTCATATTCATTATTTATGATCTTAGTCATTTGCGTGCAGTCATCATTTAGTCTATTTGTATTGTACAATATCCATACATGAGCATGCTCCAAATGAAGTCCAAAAACAATCACAACTGTCACAAAGAGGATCAATATGATTAAAACACAGAACCTATTTCATTTTGTTTTTTATAGTTCAAAATTTTGTTTTAATTGTCTTTACTACACTAGGATCTGGCATTACTGGCATTCTGGTTGAAGTGAGGGATTAGCCAATGAAACAGTCTGTTACGATGCACGGAACTGTGGGTGAAGCACTAGAAACATCAATGCCGATTGATTAATCAATGTCTGACGTCATAGGATCATAAGCCGCTCGTACGACCCCTGATGCGACATTCTAGTACAACCTGTCAGATCTTCATGTAGTGTGGGCCATCAAAAGTATATGTGCACTATGCGACCCTTTAATTCCGTTCGGTAGATGATTCCACTATCAAATTCATTATTCATCTAAAATTTTTAGAAATAGCCTAATTGCCTTCTGTAAAAATTTCAGCTCAAGTTTATGTAACATCAAGAGCAAGTTACACAGACACGGCATAGTTACCCAATTTTCCCTTCCAATAAGAATTTCTGATATTTCAGGAGCGGTTATTTTTTGTTATGGAATATGTAAATGGTGGAGACTTGATGTTTCAAATTCAGCGAGCACGCAAGTTTGATGAACCTCGAGCTCGATTCTATGCGGCTGAAGTGACGCTTGCACTTATGTTTCTTCATCGACATGGAATAATATACAGGTAAGAAGATTGTTTACATTTAGCAAGACTGGTTAAAAACTGTCTGCAACCAGACGCAAAAGTAGAAGATGTCTGACTCACTGGATTGTCAAACACTAGTTTTAGATGCATTTCAGATGGCCCAATTAAAACTAGTTTTTACTTGTTGTGAGAGCACTGGCAGATTAAGGGTTGTCAAATTTTGGCAATGACTAATACATTTATAGGAAATAATTTCTTCTTTTGACTGTAGATTTTGAAGTTGAACAAATGAATTCCCATTATTATATTTCCATAAAATTACAATAATATTAACAGACACTTGTAATCAGTTCGATAGATGGGGTCCTGTTTGAATTACAGATAAGGGACCCATGTAAGCTTAATCCGGCTGTGCATAAGGTCGGCATATGCCCACATATCCCAAATCAAACATACATTATGCAAGAGCTAAATCTGCCTATTGCAAGTCTTGATTTAGGCTTCATATGTTATAGAAATTATTAATTAGACCTTTATTTACACAACAAGCTCAAAATCAACTCTGTATAGCCATGGATGGCTTGGATACAGTTTGGATTTAAACAATCGTCCATTTAAAATTAAATCAATAAATGTTGGACCAAGCTAAATGTTTACCGTTAGTCGCTGATGTCACTACCGGAAGCTGGTGATTAAAGGCCTGCCAAGCGAGGCTACCATAGCCATAGAGCATGTTACTTGATAATCGAGAATATGTGGGTGGAGTTATCGTCTGTCAATCAAACGATCGTCAAACCTCATAGATGGTGCAGACACAATTGCTGCCTATTTCTAGTCAAGACTTCCAGCAGTGACAATTCCGTTCAGAACAAAGTAATTTGACTGAAATTTTCAACATTTTCTTTTTTTATCATCTATTTTTGAATTATTATAGCAAGAATGTATCTTTAAGGATTGTAATTGAATGTTATTATTTATATGTCTATATGACAGAGATTTGAAATTAGATAATATATTATTTTTTATATTCCTATATTACAGAGATTTGAAATTAGATAATATATTATTGGATGCAGAAGGTCATTGTAAAATAGCAGATTTTGGTATGTGTAAAGAAGGCATGTTTGAAGGTAAAACAACACAAACATTTTGTGGAACACCAGATTACATAGCACCAGAGGTAAGAACTGTTACAATACCAGATTATCCTCTTTCATTTATTTGGGGAAAGTGGGTTACATGGCTGAATGGTCTAACATATGTGCTTTAAATCATAAGGTCTGTCATTGAGTAAAGTGGTGTGGTTTAGATTCCTAGCTTGTACGTGGGATTTCTCCGGGTCCTCAGGTTTCTTCCCACTGCTAAAGGCCTGAATGCACAAGCAAAATATTGAAATTAAATTGAACCATGTTAGTCCTGAAATTACCTTGTGTCAAATGGATCTCTCTCTCTCTCTCTCTCTCTCTCTCTCTCTCTCTCTCTCTCTCTCCAAACCAAAATGATCTAGAAACCTAATATTATTCTTTCTATGTTATTAGATTCTCCAAGAATTAGAATATGATGCATCTGTAGACTGGTGGGCTTTAGGTGTTTTAATGTATGAAATGATGGCTGGACAACCTCCGTTTGAAGCTGATAATGAAGATGATTTATTTGAATCTATTCTTCATGATGATGTTCTCTATCCGGTCTGGCTTAGTAAAGAAGCTGTATCTATTCTCAAAGGAGTGAGTTAAATGTCTTATTTAATGTGCAATATACCATTTTTATGCATCGTAATTCTAATCAGATATTATATATGTCTATATGGTCGAGAAACTTCCTCACGATTTTCCGTCTGCTTTCCCCTTGTCAGTGGTACAGGACGTAATACCTCGTAATTTTAATCAAATATTGTCTTGCTATATGGTCCAGAAATTTTTTTACGATTTTCCACCTGCGTTCCTCGTGTTAATGGTGCAGGACGAAGTACCTGGCAAGGAAAAGTGTCCAGATGTTTGGATGGTACAAAACACGGAGGCTGGTAAATACCATTGGCAGCACATTAGAGATCCCATGACAGTTGGAAATTGAAATAAGACTAGACTATAGCTAGTCATCATTAGTAACGTTGGTGAGGAACAGCAAGACGTTAAAGCCAAGGTCATGATTAATTTCTGGTACAACTGGAATGACAATAATGTTGTTTAGTTGCCCGGCATCTTATGTTATGTACAAGTTACTTGATATTAAAGGTATTAGTTGTGGCAAAGAAATCAGCATACATTTTCAACCTGGTAAATACTTTTCAAAACGATCATGGCAGGACAATATAAAACATCTGACATCTTTGTTCTCTGACATTCTGTACTATCATTGAAAATTGTGCATGTGGTAATTTTTTTTTCTTCAGTTTATGACAAAGAATCCATCAAAGCGTTTAGGCTGTGTTAAAATCCAAGGTCAGGAGAAGGCAATATGTTTGCATCCCTTTTTCAATGATAAGATTGATTGGGAATTATTAGAACAGCGCAAAGTAAAACCACCTTTTAAACCAAAAATAGTAAGTTATTTACTTTTTATAGAGAACAGCTTATGTTGATACTTGTATCATAATACCTAATAAATATTCAAAGCTAAAACTGTCAAGAGGGTTCATCTTCCATATTTGAACCCCAACCTCATGGGTTTTCCCCTAGTACTCCGGTGTCCTCCCACTTATAAAGACACCTACTCTCAAAGTTAATTATTGAAATTAAATTGAATCGTCTGGTTTGTGTCAAGTGGACATTAAACCCTGTTTCTTTCTCTCTCCATATTTGACCAAACTGTTGAGACTATGAGTATGCTCAGGTGAAATCTTCCAGTTCTTGTTTAATGACAATTTAGTAGACAAGAGGATGGGCACAGAGCATAAGCAAATTGAAAATATCTCTACCAATCAGCTGAATTGATACATGCTTCATAAGTGTCATGGTGCTATTCATTTTTATTCACTCACAATGAAATATATGCACTTTAACCTAAATCCACTCCTGAACATAGGGAATATACAACCGGTATGATGTAATATAATCATCTATTGGCACTTTTTAACTAGGGGTGGGGAGATGGGTTAATCCCAAAATGACCTAGTTTGTGTCAAGTAATCATTAAAACCCATACACAGACCATACAGGATTTAATTGTCTGGTAATGCTAGCAATATACAGAGTCTAATCACCCTGCACTATATTGGGTTTAATTGTCATGTTATTCTAGCACCATACATTGTCTAATCATCCTGTGAATCTAGCACCATACATTGTCTAATCACCCTGTGAACCTAGCACCATATTCGGTTTAATTGTCATGTTATTCTAGCACCATACATTGTCTAATCACCCTGTGAATCTAGCACCATACATTGTCTAATCACCCTGTGAACCTAGCACCATACATTGTCTAATCACCCTGTGAATCTAGCACCATACTGGGTCTAATTGTCATGTTATTCTAGCACCATACATTGTCTCATCGCCCTGTGATTCTAGCACCGTACTGGGTCTAATTGTCATGTTATGCTAGGACCATACTGGGTCTAATTGCCCTATGATGCTAGATCCATACTGGGTTAAATCGCAGCTTATGTTCTCTTCTTGTGGACAGTTCATTTGTGACCTGAATAAGGCGTTCATGACATAAAGACGGCGAAAAATAGATGGAAACCCTGGGGTTCTAGACGGATTTGAACTTATTATTTTTCTTTTAACATACCCCATGCCAACTTTGAACACAAAATATCTTTTCTGTGTTTTTTTTTTGCAGAAATCAAAGACTGACGCCAATAACTTTGACAAGGACTTCACTTCTGAGGAACCAGCCCTTACTCCAGTGGAGCCTGAAGAACTACGCGCAATTAATCAAGATGAATTTAGAGGATTCTCATTTATTAATGAAGATTATGGGAAGTTAGAGCTGGAATTAGCCACCCCAACACCACCTCCCACCCATTGATCATTCGCTTTTAGGCAATTTCATAATTTATACTACATCTATATATACAGTGTATGTATATATAAGATAAAGTCAATATATATATGTATGTGTATGTATGAGGTCCAGTGAGTGTCGATACCCTAGCCTTGATTATAAGATTACAACCAGTACCAAATCAAAATACTTTACACAAACTGACCTGGTTACAAGTTCTTGTTGAAAACCTCTTGTTTTAAGTTGTTTTATAAATAACCAAAACATTTGGGTTATTCGCTAAGAATTCATACTGGGAAACTTGTCACCGTGTCGACGCCCACCACGGTCAGGTTATCGCGACGTGTTTTAACACAGTCTAGAATATATAGATGTAGATTCTTTATTATATATTAATATATATTATATATATTTACGGTACCGTGACTTTCTCTAGTCTTTTATTTATTTACATGCAAAAATAATGTACGTAACTAATTATTCCAAAGTTGTAGTTTGTTATTAGCAATGACTCTAGTTGAAGCATAGATCTAAGTTCTTTATAAACATTGTTTTGATTATAATGCTTATAATAAGGGATGACGTAAAGTAACTGGGTTAAATAAGGATTCAGACTTTCCATCAGTGGGTTAGGAGTTTAACTCTCAACCAATGAAATGAATGAATCCTTAAACTATTTTTACTCTCAACCAATGGAATGACTGAATCCATCAACTGTTTTAGATTAAGTTTTCATGAAAGAGGCCATTAGGCTCTTACTTGTCCGGTTTTGCCAGTATGTAAATCTACCATCAGTCCATTTTAAAAGCTAAATACAAATTACAATAGAAATATAGGAAAAGGTAGATTTTTAGATTCAAATTTCTTACATTCGTAAAAATGTCCTACTGAGAAAATGAAAAGGCAGATTTTTCCATTTAAATTTCATAATTATTACATTCGTAAAAACGTCCTACTGAGAAAATGATAAGGCAGATTTTTACATTTAAATTTCATAATTGTTACATTCGTAAAAACGTCAGACTGGCAAAATGCTTAAGTAAGGACTCGGGTTTGTTGAATGATAAAACTTTTTTAAATACTTGTACTTAAAAACAAAATTTGATTTGATGTGAAGCAATTGTGGTAATAATAAATATCTCAATAAAAATCATGCAATCAAAGCTCAGAATAGATTCATTTCTTAAATGCCGCTAAGCTATGCAGATAATAAAACATAAAATTTTATTTGATTAAAATGACCATACTATTATTTTTTCTCCCATTTTGTTTGATGCTCATGACTGCAACTTCTACTTTACCATAAATGTTGATAAAGAAATTTTGGATGTTATTGTTTGGGATATCTTAAACAGTTTAAGATACCTTAAACAGGTTAAGATCTATCAAGATTTATGAAACAGTTTAAGATTTATGAAACAGTTTAAGATTTATTAAACAGTTTTAAGATTTATTAAACAGTTCAAGATTTATAAAACAGATTAAGGTACATTAAACAGTTTAAGATATATTAAACAGTTTAAGGTATATTAAACAGTTTAAGATTTATTAAACAGTTTAAGATTTATTAAACAGTTTAAGATTTATTAAACAGTTTAAGGTATATTAAACAGTTTAAGATTTATTAAACAGTTTAAGATTTATTAAACAGTTTAAGATTTATTAAACAGTTTAAGATTTATTAAACAGTTTAAGATTTATTAAACAGTTTAAGATTTATTAAACAGTTTAAGATTTATTAAACAGATTAAGGTAAATTAAACAGATAAAGGTATATTAAACAGTTTAAGGTATATTAAACAGTTTAAGGTTATTAAACAGTTTAACATATATTAAACAGATTAACGTATATTAAACAGTTTAACGTATATTAAACAGTTTACGGTATATTAAACAGTTTACGGTATATTAAACAGTTCAGGATTTATTAAACAGATTAAGGTATATTAAACAGTTTAAGGTATATTAAACAGTTTAAGGTATATTAAACAGTTTAAGGTATATTAAACAGTTTAAGGTATATTAAACAGTTTAACGTATATTAAACAGTTTAACGTATATTAAACAGTTTAACGTATATTAAACAGTTTAACGTATATTAAACAGTTCAAGATTTATTAAACAGTTTAAGGTATATTAAACAGATTAAGGTATATTAAACAGATTAAGGTATATTAAACAGTTTAACGTATATTAAACAGTTTAACGTATATTAAACAGTTTAACGTATATTAAACAGTTTAACGTATATTAAACAGGCTTACAAGTTTTATGGCAGTTTATGCTTTATTTCAGCATAATGTTTTGTGATATTATAAAAATAGTTTATGCCATTGTTTGGGGAAGTACTTTACAATTTTTTTATGAAACTGCAATTATTGTGCAAGTTATTTTGCCAGTTTTAATTAATTATTGGGAAGTGACATGAATTTATATGGCAATATTATATACTATAGGATTTCTAGATCCATGGATATATTTTATTATCCAGACTTTATAATGGCAAGATGATTTCAATAATTATGCCATCTTTGAACTAAATTATTACTTGCACCAATACTTTCATTAATGTCAGTTGAAAAATATGTCAGGACAAAATTTTTCACCCTCAATTGCATCGATTTATTAAGTACTACTGAATGTATTTTAGTTGGAACCAGCAGAGCACCGGTGCATGAAGCTCACATAAAACTTATGAACAAATAATTTGAATATTTTATTCTATTAAACTTGCACGTATGTGAATCATTAGGTAAGCTTCATACATCAGAATCCTGATCTCCATTCACTTAGAGCTGCTGATTGTCATTTGAGGGATTTATGTATCCCCAGCCCACTACAATGTTATGAATGTTGAATCTCTAAAGTCCAAAGATTTGAATCCAAACTGAGAGTTTATATTGTACTAATATATGGTTTAGTTTCCTAATTAATTGTAAAAGAATCATCTTGAGTACATTTTAGCATGGATTTAGTGGTAAAAAAAGTTAGATATTGTCCGAAAAAAGCAAACCAAAATCAGTAGCTTTAATAAAATGGCGTATTTCTTACATAACTTAACTCATTGAAGTAACTTAAAACCAAAAAACAAACCAGGGGTTCAGTTCGGTTTGATATAATTTGAGTGCATTAGTATTCAAAAATGTATTTATCATAAAAGTTATTGAAATTCTTTTTCAAGAGTAAGATACTTGTGCCTATTGGTTGATCCCTCATCCCTTCAGCATGAATAATAGTTGTTAAGAGCTTAAAGCTTTTCGAATCTCAACTTGGACTACATAGTTTGACTGTTGTTGATGTCATAATGAATATATTTAAGATAAATTATTTAATAATAGTTATTTAATAAGTTAATGTTATGCAGAAAGTGCTTGTTAATTGGGGTGTTTTTGTTTTTTTTAAAAAAGAGAAGTTTTAATTAATCTGAACGAGATTTTAAAAGATGACTAACTTAGTCTGAAAGATGACTAACTTAGTCTGAAAGATGACTAACTTAGTCTGAAAGATGACTAACTTAATCTGAAATATGACTAACTTAATCTGAAAGAGTTAAACCCAGTGGTTATTTGGGCAAATTGGCTTCAGTTTCACAAAATGGATTACCAAAAACTTTTAAAAGAACTGACTAGCAAAATGGCTGAATTTTTAAATTATGTTTTGTGAAACGATGAACCCTGGAAGACGAATGTTGATTTATTTTCATGTCCCCATGTGCAATGATATATATTATATTATATGTAATATTAGAGAATTTGTATTCGACAAGAGATATATTTATTACAGTTATTTGGAAATCGTAAAAACTTCTTACTTGCCATTTTATTGTCTGTCAGTTAAAGTGGCTATTTTTTACCCTGTTACATCATGTCCCACATATATGTCACAATGTCTTGTCACCAGGATGGTATACCAGTGATGATAATGTTGTATAATTTATCTTGTTTTAAAAGCTCAATAACTTCTAGTATTCTTTCTCTTTTAATCACTCATATTTTTATGATCTTGTTTGTCTAGGTTTAGCAAATTAACTCTCATCACAAATCAAATGTTATTTAATTAAAGGTAATCAGAATCATTAAATACTGCCATGAGTGTATGGTAATAAATTTATACTGCTAGTGTCACCAGTGTATTATAATAAATTTATACTGCTAGTGTCACTAGTGTATAATAATAAATTTATACTGCTAGTGGCACCAGTGTATTATAATAAATTTATACTGCTAGTGTCACTTGTGTATAATAATAAATTTATACTGCTAGTGTCACTAGTGTATAGTAATAAATTTATACTGCTAGTGTTCCCAGTGTATTGTATAGTAATAAATTTATACTGCTAGTGTCACAAGTGTATTATAATAAATCTATACTGTTAGTGTCACAAGTGTATAGTAATAAATTTATATGCTTGTGTCACCAGTTTATTATAATAAATTTATACTACTAGTGTATAGTAATAAATTTATACTGCTAGTGTCACCAGTGTATGGTAATAAATTTATACTGTTATATCATCATCAATACCAGGGTATGTCAACAAATTCATCTGAATATTTGTAAAAATAACAGGGCAGGTATCTGGACTCAAAGTGTGGGATTTAAAGGGCTATTCTGCTTTTTTGAAATCCCCCTGAAAATAAGCATTGACTCATCCAGTCTGTTAACAGTAGAAATATATTCTTATGCTGCAATTATAAATTCTATGTCATTTCATTAAAAATCAAACAATTTTGAATGATGATCTGAACTATGAGGAGGAATACATCTCAAACCTGATCTTTTGGCAAGACTAAGAAAGCAGACTGTCCCTTTAAATCACAAACTTTGTTTAGCTGATTAAAAGATATCATTATAAACCTATAAATCATAATGTGAAAACCAGGGTTTAACAACATTTTGGGATAGTATCCCCCAACCCCATCTACAGACATTATCTCAAGAGTAGAAGAAAGTAATAATCAGTCATATGTCTGAATGACAAGACTGTCATATCTTTCAATCTGTTAAATATCGTACAAGATTAGGATTAAGTAATTAAAATATACTAAAAATAAACACTATTACACACATGTAGTTGATGCACAATCACAGTATTATATGAATATTACTTATGTTATGTGAATTACCTCCCTTTAGGCACATTCACAATGGGAAAATGTTGTTTTATTTTATTTTTTGCTTGGAACTGTTTTGTCAATATGATATTATTTAAATTTCTCTTGTTTTTTGTAAGCATTATATGAAAGAAGATAAGAAGTTGTTATATTATAGAATTAGGCAGTTTACCTTAGGTTACATTATGTTTTTAGTCCCAACAATATGATCAAAAAGTGTGAATTTCAAATATAGGTATCTATAATAAGGAAAAGAAGAATAAATAAAGAATGAAAAATTAATAAATGATTATAGATATATTATGTTATCTATCTATATCAGATACGATAACGTTACGATAATAATAATAATATATTAGAATGTGTTTTTACCTTAATAACTGGTAAGTCTTTCATATATAAACATGTTCCGTGAAGTCATGTTATCATTTAATGGATCATTCTAAACGGAAGATTTCTGCATGTGTTTAAATGTATAGTGAAAAGTATTTCTCATTTTTTATTAATATGAATCTCACGTATCTGTTTACAGTATGTTTAAATAAGTGTACGTATGTTGTCTTTTATTCTAAGTTTGATTTTTGTGACTGTGTTATGGTAGAGAGAGCGAGAGTGATGTCCGAAAATATGGTTTATTTATTATTATCTCGACTTCTTTTTTTTCTTCTTTTTAATTTTTTTTTTTTTAAATGGCAATGTAAAATGCAATAAGAATAAATTATGTGAGTTAAGATGTAAAGAATTGCTTTAAGTAGATTATTACGATAAATATATGTTAGTTATAATCTCACCATCGCCTCTATTAAATCCTCCCTTGTATAGTTTATATAATAAATAATATGCTAATTCTTAGTTAAGGTAACTAGTATTGAATTACTTATGTGTTTTCATGCAAAAAACTAAAAAAAAAAAAAACCAAACCACTTAACGTTAGTCCTGCTCAAAATAACTTAAATCTGCTATTTTATAATATTATGAAAAATAATTGCGGTTTACAAATTTCAATCAATGTGCAATTTTCCTTCTCTTTCCTCTTTTTCTGTCTCCAAAAATTCCATTAATTGTTCTAAGCAATTCATTTATTAGTAAATTGAACCGATTAAATAGACTAAGAATTGGCATTCTGAATTATTTGATGAATAATATTAGTTATAGAGTTACTTAAAA